TTACACATTTTGACGAAAAACACATTATGATGATGACGCTACAATACAATTAATACGCGCCAACTTTAAATCAAAGAACAGATGCACTTTGCATGGCTAAATAACAGTTAAGCCTATAAAGCTTAGTTCCGAACGATATCGATGTGATGACCGCATTTAAGCATTTATAATATCAATGCGAGCCACCTTAGTTTGGAAAATCCATAAAAATGATGAATGTGCAGGGAAAGAGTGTTTTGACCCTAAACTTTTTGCATCCAACACGTTGTGAGTTATTCAAGCTTTCGATACGAAGTATTTGTTAAGTATTAGCAGAAAGAGAATCTGAAATATCGTGCCTATTCAATTTGCACATAATCCCCGAATTTTCGCGGTTCAAATCGTATGTTATTGCCAAACAATGGTCGAATCACAAGTTCAGCGGACACACGCATCTGATCGGTGCGCAATTTCGATTTCACTTTCAAATTCCGCATCAGCAATGCCAGAATGCACTTTTCTTCCATAAGTGCGAATCGCTGTCCTGTAAAAGAGATCTGTCACCTTATCTCGAATGTATAAGCGATTCAACAAATTTTAAATTCATTTTACTCTCTTATTATGCTCGCAATTTTAAAGCATCTTTCCATTCCACAATTATAAATTTTTCATTTCATTATCGATTAAATTCTCCCCTTCAAAAAGAACACCACAGACCACCTTTTCTTGATATTATCTGTTTCAACCCAATTCTTAGAAATTTGTTCTGGAAATCTGATACCGATGCAATTCCTGGGTCCAGCAGAAAAAGGAATGTATGCAAACGGATGTCTGGATTCACTGTCGAAGAATCGTTCAGGTTTGAATATTTCTGGGTCTGGCCAATATCGTATGTCTCGATGAATCATTGACGCAATTATCATAACGCCAGTACCGCGTGGCAGGACTTTATTTCCTAAAATTAGAAGCTTCAAAACGTTTTCTTCGTGAATTGGCTTTGAAAAAAACTCAAGTATGGATTCTGCAAAAATTAGAATTTTGTTCAGAAAGCGCGTTACCGATGTTTTGCTATGTCAGATAAAAGACTTTCTCAATCCAAGTAAGGAATAGTTTTTATGGAGATGATGGCGGAGGAATGAAACAGAGTTTGAGAAAGATCGCAACACGTAACTAACTTGAAGTGACTTCGAGAATACTGAGAAAGCTTTACCAATTTTCGTAGATTTGGTTAACAGTCGCGCTTGCATTGGTACACTGGGAAATAATCGCAGAGTTTCTTTGATGCAAGCCTCAAGGAATTTTAGTTGCCCGATGTCTTCATATCTTACAGGTCTATCTTCTGAAAAATCTTGATGCAATTAATATCTCGCTTTACAAATATACATAGATATTCAAACTTAAGTTAACATACCTTCTCCTAACACTTCGTCAACCTCCTTTTGGACTTTTGCTTGAATTTCTGGATTGGTACCCATCAA